TGACATAACATTTTTAAGTAAATCCAGTATATTTTTTTTTTGAGTGTGGGGACGCTGTCTGCTCTGTGATACAGAGTCCTGATGACTCCTAACTTGTGCTCCAAAGGGTGATGGGAGCCAAACTGCAAATACTGGTCTGTGTGGGTGGGTTTGCGGTACACCTCAGTTTGCAAATGTCCTCTATCAGAGACTGAAACCTCACAGTCCAAGAAAGCCAACTTGCCATTTTTTACATCTTCTCGTGTGAACTTGATGTATTTATCCACAGAGTTGATGTGGTCAGTAAAATGTTGGACTTCCTGAGATTTAATTTTAACCCAGGTGTTGTCAACATACCTGAACCAATGACTTGGTGGTGTCCCTGAAAAGGACGTCAAGGCTCTCTTTTCTACCTCCTCCATGTACAGGTTGGCAACAATAGGAGAAACTGGAGACCCCATAGCACACCCATGTTTCTGCCTATAATATTGCTCCCCATATGTGAAGTAGGTTGACTGCAGGCACAGTTTCAAGAGTTGACACAGTTGTTCTGTGGAAAGCGTGGTCCTGCTGCTCAGAGTGGTGTCTGATTTTAATTTTAAACTGACCACCTCTACTGCATCATCAACAGGAATGCACGTAAAGAGTGATGTGACATCAAAAGAGACCATTGTTTCATCAGTCTCCATGATGACATCCCTCACCTTATCCACAAAGTCCATGGTGTTCTGTATGTGGTGTTCTGAGCTGCCAACTAAAGGGATGAGTACAGACGCCAGATATTTGGAAACATTGTAAGTGACAGAGTTAATCATGCTAACAATTGGTCTTAAAGGTACACCTTGTTTGTGGATTTTAGGTAAACCATACAGACTAGGTGTAGCCTCCCCTGGGTACAGTCTGTGGTACAGAAAACGGTCAATAGCCTTGTCCTGCTCCAAAATTTTCAGGCAATCTATTAACATCTTCTTGTAACCTCTTCCTGGATCTCTTTTCAGAGGTTCATAAGTGGTTAAGTCACTAAGGAGTGTCATAACTTTCTCATGATAGTCTTTCTGGTTCAAAATCACTGTGCACCTTCCTTTGTCTGCTGGGAGAATGATGATGTTTTTGTCCTTGCTAAGAGTGGTGAGTGCGTCCCTCTCCTCTCTACTGATGTTGGAAGGTGGTGGTTTGGCATTGCTGAGGCAGGCTGAAACTTTGATTCTGAGCTGTTCTGCTTCACCCTCTTTAATTTTGTTGTTGCGGATGGCTGACTCTGTGGCTGTGATCATCTCCACCAGAGGAATTCTACTTGGTGCAACCGCAAAGTTCAGTCCCCTGGCAAGAATCTCTGTCTCCGGCTGGGTGAACTGTCTGTCAGATAAATTCTTCACCCACTTTTCTGTATCCCTGGCATGTAATTGTCTACTGGAGTGTTGTCCTACACTGAATGTGTTGTTATTGGAATTGTGATGGTGTTGATGAGTTATTAGTAAGTTAAACGTGATTTACCACTACCGCTGTTCAGTGTCAGGAGGGCTGTGATCAGTCTTACATCGGGGAAACTAAACAGCCACTGACCAAAAGGATGGCCCAGCACAGAAGATCAACATCATCAGGCCAGGACTCTGCGGTCTACACTCATCTCCAGGCCAGCGGTCACTCTTTCAGGGATGAAGATGTTCACATCCTGGACAGAGAGGAACGATGGTTTGAGAGAAGAGTAAAGGAGGCCATCTTTGTGAAAAGAAATCGTCCATCATTAAACAGGGGTGGAGGCCTCCGGGTTCAACTGTCCCCCTCTTACAATGCTGTGATTGCTAGTATCACTCAGCCCTCTGTGAACAGTAAACAGCCATCAGTGTGCTAATGATCCATTGTTAGGCTGATGGTCCTTCTTGATCATGTGATCAGCTGGTTTTGGTTGTCAGCAGCAAACTGGTTGATCCACTCTGAGAAGGTGCTATTTAAGAGACTGAGCTGAATACAGCACCTCAGACTGAGGAAGTCGCTTGGATGAGAGACGAAACGTTTCTACATTTTTTTGTTGTTTTGTTTTGTTTTGTTTTTTTGAATGTCCAGAGGACCAGATTTAACTTTTTTAGATTTTTCTACCTGGATTATTGAGCATGCATCAGGATAGGTAGTATGAAAAGGTTAGCCTCACAAAGCCTTGTGTTGTATATTATTGTTGTAAGACATTTAATCGGTAAATAAAGCACTGTTTATGTGAAATGGAAGGATGTTTCTGCCTGCAGCAACAGTCCCAGTTGTATTTCCCTCTCTCCTTTAGGGTGTGTGTTTAAATCACATGAAGCTGAAGCAACAGCGAGAAGCTTCATCCTCACCATGACGCGCTGTGAGGATGAAGCTTGTGCTGAGATCTCTCCAACCAGTAAACACCAGCGTGTTGCTTGCATGAGCATCTCTAACGGAGCGTGTGCGTGGCGGCACGTGCAGGCGTGACGCTGTGCATCCATGCGTGAACATGTCCTCCTCTCTGTGCGCGTCGAAGAGAGAGGCCGTGAGATTTGGCTTTTTTCTTTTCCTGTGCAGGGATTAACCGGGTTTCCATGGTGATTAGTTGCAATGAGGCAGGGCCTCGTCTACAGGGAGGGATGAGACAGACTGCAGAATCAGAAGAGTTATGAATAATTGTAGAAATGTAGGTCCCATATGGTTTGTGAATGGACTGCTGCAACATGTGATGTCAGCTGATCTTGCTCCTGATCATAGCAGCTCATGAGTCCCTCCGTTGGTCGAGCCACCGTCAAGAGATCAGGGTGGCAGAGGTTGGCCTCAGAGGAAAAGCACCCGCTTGCAGCAAAGACCTTCCAGTCGAGGATATGTTCCAAAATCTTGTGCTGCCCTGCTCACCCAATGCGTCACAAATGGCAAAGTTACACAACAACAAACCTCACTAACTCTCACCCGTCCTCCCATCCGTGTGATCTGTTTTGGTTAGTCCTCCGTGTTCCCCTAATTAAATCATGAAGTAGGTCAAAACAAACAAGAAGCCTCGGGTGCTGGACCCAGGATTTTCTAAACTTTGTTCTAAAGATACCATCCGTCCGTCCATCCATCCGTCCGTCCGTCCATTCATCCATCCATTCATCCATCTGTCCATTCATCCACAAAAGCTGTTCCAGGAGTATAAAGACAGTTACTTCAAGCTGTTAAGTCAAATTAAACAATAATTTGATTCTTTTCAAGCATCACACAGTATTTCATTGGCAAAATACGTTTGTAGAAAATGTTGGTTCATATATGAAAAGAATTACGTAGATTTCTAAATGGGGAATAAATACTAAGAATTTAAATAAAGCCTGCGTTGTGGAGGGGGTTCGTCCGGCATAATATGCGCTGACTTGAATGTTATGATTTGTTTTTTCAGGGGTTATTTCTTTTGTTTAGTTTCGGTATTTGTGTTCAGCTTGTCTCATGGCCTCGCCGTGTTTTTCCTGTGCCACCAGTTCATGTCCCATAATTCAGTTTCTGCTCCTCAGCTCCTGCTCAGTGCCTCCCTCACCTGTTCCCTGTTGTCATTAAGCTCAGGTGTTTCCATTCTGCTCACCAGCTCATGTTCACATAGACCCTCTGTCCTTGTTCATGCTACATGCTACATGCTACATCCAGTTCAATTCCATGTTTTTCTTTCTTAAATGTCTGTAAATTGTTGCTACCACACCAAATTTTGTTTTTCTTTATTAAAGTCTTTGGGTCAGTCTTTCAGCTCCTTGGGTTTTGTCTACATTTCTGGGTCTAACCTCTGCCAACATGACATTTAAAAGTTTGTATGGGTCACCCTTATTTTCTGTTAAAATGATCATACCTGCAATTTAATGTCAGTTTATTTACTGAGGTTGACTGAAGTGCTTTTCATCTTAGTCAGACATGAACAAAACAAGAATTAAAGGACAAGGAAACAACAAAAGCAGATAAGGTCTACTCATATCTTAATTTCTGTTTAAATTAAAATATAAAGTAAAAATATGGGATTTAGTCACTACAGCATGAGTTGTGTGCATGTAGAATGGTAAACTGTTCCAATCATTCAGGGCAGCCAAAGTCTGATTACTTTTATTATAAAAGTTATAATAATGTCCATCCATCCATTATCTTTTACCCGTTTATTCCATTTTGGGTCACGGGGGTCGCTGGTGCCCATGTCCAGCAATCATTGTGCGAGGGGCGGGGTACACCCTGGACAGGTCGCAAGTCCATCACAGGGATATAATAATATTAATAATAGTAATAATAATAAATTATTATAAACTTGTTTTTAATAGATTTTATTGTTAGTTTAATCTGGATTTTAGTACCTTTAAGAGAAACTGGCTGGTTGACCAAGTGCTCTTCCTGCTGTGTGGTTGTTAGGAAGACCACTTAAAGCTTTAAAAGTTATTAATGGTGTTTTAAAATCAATTAAAAAACATAAAGGAAGCCAGAAAATAGATGCCAAATCTTTTTTTTTTTTTTTTTGGTTCTGGCTTCTTTGTTCTCTTCAGAAGCCAAGCTGCTGCGTTCTGGGCAGTTTGTT